AATGGTAATCTGTCCATTTTATCGATCTGAAAATCGCACTGACGAAATGTCCATCCACACTGCCTTCCTAACAGTACGATATTATTTCCTAAATTGCTCAAAATTACTTCTTTTAAATAAGATAGCATTTTCGCAAGCCCATTGGCCATCGCGGTGGTTACGCCGCGCCTCCGATGAAGACCGCAACGATGAAGACGCCGGGCTTCGGGAAATTTCTTAACACGGGCCCGGGTGTCCGGTGAATACCCTTCGTTCGGGTGGAGGTCAATATGAGGCATCTGAGATTTCAGGAACTAAGAAAGCTAGACACACCAAATTTACAGAGGGTGTTGACCTGTACCTGAACACACTGAGGTCAGAGTTTGGGGTTCCTAGGTCATGACCTTTGGGTCAGATAAGAAAAAAACAAGGTCAGTCTCCAGGCTGGTCTCCAAATTGTCCCCGGAACCTAGATACCCGTTCTAAGCAAAATTTCACACGATCATTCAAGGTCAGTGCCCTTGTTTGACCTTTCGAAGGTGATGGCGACAAAATAATACAAGACCGCTTTGAGTTTTGCATTTGAATAAGCAACAAATATTACGCTAGGCAGTATGTTACTAAAAACAAAACGTTGACCTGACTGGGACCTGGGACCTAAAACTAATTAATTTTAGGTCAGCGGCCTATTCTGACCTTTGATGAGTGCATGTAGGATGTATAATGCGGTTCCTATTGCCAATCAGATCGAGATGGACACCAGAAACTACTCCATACAGCAAGCCCTAGAGTAATAGGACAAATTTTTTTTGACTGGTCTGACCTTCAAAGCTGACCTTAGGCGAATGAAATTTGCTCATTCAATTGTTGCGTTGCCTAAAAATAAACTATCAAAGAAGCCGTGTGGTCTCGTCTAACACTCCGTTGTTGCATCAGACTGAACAATTCCCTAGAAATTGACTTCGTGGAATCCGTGGCCTGACTCTGACCTGCCGTAGGTCAGGGACCTTACAAGGTACATCTAAATTGTCAACACCAAACGATCCGCTATCCATTTGTCTATAGCTATGGAAAATTTGGTGCGGTTGCGCCTCGCCGTTCAGAAAACATTTGAAGAAATCGGGGGGGGGGGACAATTTGACCCTCACCTGAGCGTCATTTAATGGCCTGCCAGTGCGCGTGTTCGAAACTATGTGACATAGTTTTTCACTATTCAAGATAGACTGAACGTCGCTCCTTTTCGGATGAACATGTATTCGCTGCCATGATAATGTAGATTTCTAACACGGCTTCGATCTACGGTTAATATTTACTTGGTTCTCAACATTTCTGTCGAACGCAGAAAAAAATACAATAAAGCCTGTGCGTTCCCTGTTAAGAAAAAAGTTCACTTAGCCATCATAAAATAAAAGCTCCAGCGGTTTATTCCATGAAGTCATTAAACACCCGCTTTATTAAGCTAACGGACTTCAAAATACATACATAGCTGCATCTTGGGGTAGCTTCTCTGGCTCCTGCTCCAGTGCATGAAGTTAAGAATAACTCTAAGACTAAGAAAAAAAATGACGCCTCGGGAAATCACGTGGACAAAATCTGGTGTTTTGGTTTTGTTGGGAGAAACTCTCACCCACCATCAGGAGGCCCTTTGCCAACCGGTTGACATGCAGCACCTTACCGAAGCTCTGACAATGCCTTTCCCCTGCTCCTGATAAAGAAAGGTCATCTGAGGCCGCATTAGTGCCCTCAGGATCCGTCGTGGGGGTCTGCTTGATATGAATTAGGTTTATTTACATGAGCCACAAGACACTCGTTTAAACTGAAGATCTCTGAAAGCTTTCCAAGGCAAACAAATGATTTTCTCCCGTGTCTCCCTCCCCCCCCCCCCCCTGCTGCGTTACCCTTTGTGTTAGTCCAGCCTCGCCGCGCGGCACGCTTCGGAGGAAGGTGAGGCATGGAGAACCTTTCCATTAAGAGACGACGAATGCTCATGATGCCTCTGCCTAGAATTACTTCCGAAGGCGAGATTGTGCTCGAAGTTGGAATCGCATTCTGAAGTCCAATGAAAGACGAGCGTCTTCAACCACCAGCGCCGCCTGGCGAAACAGCGGTGCAGCGCATGTGTGACGTCACACCAATTGCGTAGTTGTGCGATGTGCCGCCGCGGCGCTCCCGTCAGTCCGTGGATGTCCGCTGCAGTGGCGGCGCGCGTACCCGTGTTCTGTCTTTATCTGGAAATATTGGTGACAATACGTAGACGCACTGTTGGTGGCCGCCAAGATGAGGCTGCTGTGGATCCTTTTGTCAATCTTCGTGCAAGGTAAGAAACCGTCTCCAGATTTTCGTTAGTTTAGGGCATCATGTGAGCACCGCCTCTGTACAAAAACCGCCCACCTGCGCCGTGCCCTGTTTGGCTTTTTCTGTTGCACTCGCGCGGTGGGATGGGGGGGGGGGGGGGGGGGGGGGGGGGGGGGCGCACGCCCCCTGGCCACCTGCGCGGGGCTGGCCCTTCGGGGCGTGTCGGCCGACTCCAGTGGCCCGGTCCGCGCTGGCTGACCCGGTCGATACGCCACCAGGCGGCGCCAGGTGGGCGGCGGCGCTCGCACAAGGGCTTGTGAGCCCAGTTGTCCCCATCACAGAAGAACCTGCACAGGCCTCCGCGGCCGACAGCACCGCCACTCGCAGATGGGACGCAATCTCACCTCGTGTGCGCGTAGTTTGGACTGTATTTCATGATGCGGACCTGCTCTTCGGGGCGATTCAGAGGTCGGTCGGTTCTCACCGCGAGCGTCCCGGAACTGAGGGTGGCTGCGTATGCTAAACGTCGAAAGTCAGCGAAACAACGAGCTCCCAAGGCCGGGGCAAGTCACCGCCGGTCGCCGGAGGCCCCCAAGTTGGGCCCTTCCTGCTGGCGAAGCATGCCTGCGTGACCGGGTCAGCAGGCGCGCTGCCGTCCTGACTGGCGTATGCCGCGCGTGACCGTCACCCTGAGCTCGTCGACCAGCGCTGGGTGCCAGTCGCGCGTCAGTGGTGTGCGTCAGTCGCCTTGCGTTCAGGAGGGAGAGAGAGTCTATATTTCTACGGATCCTGCTGCTCTGATGCCAGATGTCAGTGAACAGCTGAATCAGACTGCGTATATGTGTGCGTGTGGGGGGGGGGGGGGGGCGTATAGTGGCTGCAACTGGCGGCAGAGAGTGCCAGAACGACAAACGACAACAATGACTCTGCGGGCAAAAAGGTGTTTCTTACACCGCATTTGTTTTAAGTGCATTTACGCGCCTCGAGTTTAAACGGAGGACTTTTTAACATTTGCATTGCAACGCCAATTTACCTTTTGCTGGTGTTCATTACTTGTAAGTAATCAATGCATGTAGGTTATAACGGCGTGTTCTGGGTTTTGCGCTCTGTTCTTGTTCAGCCAAATTTTTGGCAAACCAATGTATTATTCACAGCTACGATCGGAATCAATCCCATGTGACTCAAACCGGGAGCGCTATCACGTTAACGCTTGATCCTAAATGTTGGCGGGCTTGACATTTACCCAAAACATGCATCAATTCTGTGAACTGTTTGGCCGTAAGCCGTGACTAGTGCCGTTGTGGCAGGCGGGAGCCGGCTGGCTGGGCCTGCCCGCCCCGGTGCAGGCCTTGGCCCGGAGCGGGGCCGTTCCAGAAGGACCGTTCCATGGATCGTTCACGTCACCCCCGGCGGGCGCACGAGTCGATTGGCTCGTAACACGCTCCGGTGGCCCCGCCCACGGGCCCGTCAGCGCTGGCTCAGTGCGTGCGCCGCCGCCCGCGGCACCCACTCGCGCCAGCCGCCGCCGCGCCTGGCGCCAGGGCAGCCGCGGTGCTGG